CGGTCTTGGATTGTGCGGATACTTTTGGATAGGGAAAGTTTTGTGAGCGTATCGTTTAAGCCTCGGTTTAAGCCTTTAACATTATAAGAAAAATATAGTTGCATCGCTTTTTTCACTTTTTTTTACTCCACATAAAACCTTTGTGTGTACCCAATTCTAAATATTTTAATTGATCTTCATTAAAAGTTTTCGAAAAATTGCAGTCTTCACTTCTGAGCAGGTAATTTCTTTTTTCGGTTTCTGTTTTCTTGCCCCCCCAGAGCTCCTTTCTTGCAAATGCAAAAAGGGATGCAGAGGTGGCTGTATTTGCCTGAAAGCAGGTCTCAAATGCTTTGTGATGTGTGCTACCTGCGCTGGGGAAACGTGCCAGAACGCTGCTCTTATCATCATCGAAGAGGGCGACGATGACGAGCCTCAAGACAGCCCTGACGATCCAGCAATACTGGACTCCCTAGCTATAAAGGACCGCGACGACAATCCACCAATAGTAGAGGACCTCCCTGTTAAAGAGTGCAGCGAAAGTGACGGCCCAGAGCCATTCAAAAAAGGACACGATTTTGATCTATCTTTGATTTATTAGTTATATACCTACAACAATTTTTATGACTTATGTTTATATTAAAATACACCTCACCGTTTTTTTAATGATTACATGCCAAATTTTTCTTTACCACACCAAAAAACAAAAAAATAAAAAGCTTTTGGAACATTTCTGGATAAATGCGATTTTACCTTTTATCGGTTTTTTTGAGATTTAGAGAGAACTACGAGACCTGCAGGCCCCACTTTACGCTTAACTTAAAGCTAATTAAATTATCTACAACTTCTATTTTATAAGTTCTACTCGTAGGATCAATAGTTTAGCCGCAATTTCTATCTACAGAAGGTGTAAAACTCAAATGATCACTTTTTGGAAAAAAATGACTATCTTCAAAGTGCCGTAATTCGGTAACTAATTGACCTACAGCAATCCATTTTTGTCGTGCTACTTCAATGTCAGTTTATGAGAAGAATTTCATTTCAATGCTTTTCTAAATAAGAAAGTTGGAACTGCGCTTGCGCAAACCTAAATTTTGAAACTAATGTTAGATTTTCCTTTATTCCAAGTGCCTATGTATCAAATTTCATTCAAATGCTTTTATAAGTAAAAAATTTTGCAATTCGGTTTACAAATGGTCGAGATGCGAAAAGGGCACTGTGAATTTTGAATCGATTCGATTCAACTTTTGGCATTGCGTATTATATGGCTAAAGCTATGCCCATATTGAATTTATTCATGCAATTCAAGTCATAACTAACGGAGATGTAAAAGTGATCGAACATTTCTAAACAAAGTTATCGTTCACACGGACAGATAGATGGACAGACAGACAAAGGAACAGACGGACAGACCAGCATGCAGACGACAGGTAGCAATGCAAAATTATAAACGATCTCTAGGATCGTTAATAAACGGCAAAAGTGTAAAATTATAGAACATGTAAAAAAACGGTTTTTTGTTTTTTTTACAATAACTTTTTTTTGTAAGCGGTACAGAAAAAATTCCTTCCTTGGTACAAGACTCGACACCATAACGAACCAAATAGCGAAAAAGTAGAACAATAGCTCTTAAGATAAAAAACTAGTAGCGTCGCAAAGTTAGCGGACGGACGGACGGACGGACGGACGGACGGACAAAGTGGCCACAATAGCGCATTTTTTTTTTTATTTTTGTGGAAATGCGCTAAAAACTCGAGGCCCTATGGCCCGAGAGCTTTTTAGTCGCCCGAGAGTATAAACGTCAGTTTATGCCCGTGGTATATACAACATTTTATGTTTTACAAGTAGTTTTCTTCGTTAAAGTAAACCGTTTACAAAATAATTCACTATGTTTGATCAAGTACGCGTGGTTCGAATTTGTTAATGTGATTGAAACCATTCAAACATCAATTGTAATTTTAAATAATTCAATTCATCATAAATAAGGAAGACGTTCCAGAAACTATACGGAATAAGGCCAATCTTGTGATTTAGTAGGTATTGACAATTAATAATTGACGTTTCTAATTTTCAATGACCTGCAAATATTTGTTTGTTTTATCATTAAGTATAAATGAGTTACTATGGCGATACTTAATGCCCTAGGGCATAAAGTGGTACTTTATACCCGCGTATCATAGATATAAAATGTGCTATGATAGGTTAATAAGACATAAAATTTATTTAAGTGTTTCATTCTTCTTCGGTTATTAGCCAAGTTGGCGTTGCAATACCATAATATGTAAAGTTTACTTACTACCTAGTCTAAGAGCTAGTGGCACATTGTTTTAAACAGTTTTATCCTTGTTGATATTTGGATAAGTATAAAATAGTGATGTATATGGTAATAAGTTAATAACATAACCGAACGTCTGGAAACAAATTCGTTGATGGCGCGGCAGTGGTGGGAGGTCGAAAAGGGTTAAAGTATTAAAAAATTCAAACAGTTTTATTATTGATGAACCTTTTTCTATGCGGTAGTTTTGAAATTACCTTCGTTGATTTGTCGGAGGACAATCCTCTTCGTACGTCTTGCCGGTGAAAGCTTTTTTTTTAAATTATTATTGTATGTATAAAAAAAATGCTCGCGCGTCCGGGGTTCGAACCCCCGATCCACCAAATGCGCGCCATCCGAGAAATTGCTGTCAGACGCTCGGATATGTTATGACTTACTTATGAGCATATTATAAGTTCTGATAATCCACCCTTATGGTTAGCCAACACACCTTTACAACTGAAACAAAAATATGATATGCTCTGTATATAACCAATCGACCGTTTTGCGCAGATGCGAAATACTAGGCGATTTTGGTAACGAAGCTAGGGGAAAATGAAGAATATGGCGACGAGGTCGACGGAAGGCATCACGCTTTCCCGGTTTGTTTTTATTCTTGATTATTTTGGTGGTGGTGTTTTGAAGGTGTATTTACAGGTAGTAACCATTTTATTCTTTCTTGTACTAGCTAGTTAATCATTGAATTTCTTGCCACCATTTGATATTATTTACATTTTGCTGATTTTGCCTCAACTACGATATCTGAATCATGGCACACTGCATGCCTTTGTTTTGACTACCGTTATCTGAATCATGTTTGTTTGTTATACTGTACAGGTAAGTATTTATCTCTGTATTCACGAGGAGTTGATTTATCGGTGCGATGTTGCTTTGTTCGATTGAAATTGAACTATTCCGTGAGGGAAGTACCTAATACAGTTCGCCGTATCTATTACTTTCGGATTCGTGGCGCGCTGCAGTTCTTGTGCGTTAGCTATACGAAGCGGGGCTCTCTTATTTAATGTTTCGATGTTTGTGTGTGCGAGTGGGTCATTCTGTCTCCGTGGAGTAGGTACCTAATACAGTTCGATCTTTGGCTGTATCTGTTGCCTACTGGCCGCGTGCGGATTGCAGTTCTTAGCATCTTAGCAATGCGAGATATTTAGGTGCCCTCTCATTAACATTTCCTCTATTTAAAATATGTTCTGCTTGAGCGATAATCGATTTTCACATGAGTACTTGCTATTGGCATTCTCACATGTACCTTTCGTGTTAAATAAAATTATGTTAACTGAAGGCTGGAGTAGAGCCACACCATTTACATGTTTCGTATGTACACGCCATTTATTATTTTACGAGTTGTGTTATCTCAATTGATCGTACAGGTATTTTGATGTGTTTTTGTACTGAATTGATTTATCATGTTTTCCACTGCATTTATGATGTCTTTTAATTTTGTTTTTATGAACTCGTTTAATTGCATTTGATTTTATTATCTGATTTTTATCAAACAATTTGAGATGTTTTATTCTCTTGCATTTTATTCGAGATTTTATTGCTGTAGGTGATTTATTTCATGTATTTGTGTGGCGTATGCCGGGGTTTTTGTCCCGTAGAAGGTTTCCCTCGCATGGTCTTGTTGTGTGCGTTAATTTATTTCATTGTTCTTGTCATTTCTTACGCACAAAAGTTCTGTCTTTTATTTAATTCCCTCCCCGATTATGTCTCACGTCCCAACACATAATCAACCGACTACACAACGTAGGAGTTCATTAGTGCCATCCATATCGAGCCGACTGTCATCCACATTCAAAAGTGCCGCAAAACGTCCATCGTTTCGACTTGAAAGGTAGGTCGCTCTGCTTGTAGTTTTCTTTTACCAGAGTTGCCAACGGTAAGTATAGGGTAAGTCAACGTTTTCAGTGTCGGCTTGATAGACCCCTAGGAACATTACAAGGTACATAACTATCTTATATGCAAATACCAGCAATAATAAAACTGTTTAAAAAAATGTGTCACTAGCTCTTTGCTATACTGGTTCACTCATTTTGTGCATTGGTCCAAGATAAAATAAAATAATTGAATGAATCAAAAATACTTATAGTCACGGTAGTATCTTGGCCATTTTCTCAACTATCTAAAATCGTTTGATAACTATCAGTCTACTTTTTTAGTACCTTCTGGCAAGAGCAATACCTTTTACTATATTCCTTAAAATATAATGTTCTAGTGAATGAAAATCTATTTCTTATTCAACGGGTCTACTTAAAGGCATAGTATCGTTGTGTAAGGCGTTTAGAAGTTACAATTACAAGTAATGGTTATTGTACGTTCGATTGTTCCTCCCATCTACTTACGTCTTCGGTTACTTGTATCTAGACAGGGGTGTTGACCTGAGATGTTTGTAAAAGGTTCCTTATATTGATGGGTATTTCCCAAATAGACAGATATATAGTAAACCGTGTGATTATACATAACATTGATCCTATTATCCACCACTTTTTTCTAATAAATGGGAATGGTGTGCTACCAAATCTACAATTGTAGTTTGGTAATGAGGTATCATCTTCTCAAAAAATAAACGACCCGGGTGTCGAAATTACTAAGCAAATAGTTTGTTTTCCTTGCTCAAACAAAGTTGCTTATCAACGACGTACCTTCAGATTTTTAAATTTGTTTGGTCGGTTTACCTCAGACTCTAATTTACAACGTTCAGTTGCGCATCACCTTAGCGGATACAGCACATTACAGGAATACTTTAACATGAAAACATTATTGATATTAGTTGTATGTATGTTGGGATTTTCTGGGGTAAGTCTGTCTCCTAATTTCACCAACATTAACTCATATTTTTAGATAGAATGTATGTGCATCTTAAATACTCTAGACGCAGATGAGAAAGCCTGTGCTGACCCCTTAAATTTAGATGGAGACGCGATCTTAAATTTTTATCAAACTAATTCAGACAGTCCGATTTTTGCCGACTATATAAATTGCATCTTTCCAAAATGGAATTTCGCCGCTAGTGATGGAACGATTTTGTTTGATAATATCATCGCGTCGGATGATCTACCTTGGTTTATAGCACGCATGTGCCAGGACGTCGTAAATTTGATTATTAAAGAACGTGAAGAATATAGAAAGTCGGCAATTTACTGTAAGAAACATCCACCTGTCATCGTAACTGCCGCTACTGTGAGAAAGTGCATTGCAGACAATTATAAACCTGCCCAATAGAAGACCCCTAACCAAAATGAATTAACTGTAATAAAAATAAGTCATGCCATTGAATAGTGTTACGCATATCTGGGTTACATGTTACATCAAATGTTATATTGTCACTACTCATTGATAGTACCTATATTAAATATCTTTCCAAAAAATGTGGAAAGGCTGTTGCTGCGTCCACTTTGTTATACTAAAGGCTGGAATTTCATGTTTTTGTTAAACTTGTCTGACCATTAATTTCCATGGCAACACAGGTATGTATATAGAAAGTTATCCAAGTAAATGTAGCTAGGTTCATACGATGGTTTAACTGATACGTGAAAAACTGATCCTAAAGACGTATACGTAACATCTCCAGATCAAAGCGCCAGTTGATTAAAAATATATACAAGAAGCTACTGCTCAGTGGAAAACAGTAAAAGAAAATAGTGTGTGTGTTGTCTTGTTTTGTAATTACATCAACCTGTATGTTGAAGAGTTACCAAGACAAGCTCTTTATGACTTTTTTTGGTCGCAACAGCATTAAATCTCGACCCGTTAAAGGCTGATTCTCACTATACATAACGTTTCCATACCATATCCATTCCATAACCATTCCGTAAATTATTATAGGCTACGAAATTGACCTTTAAGTGATATGTGCGTAAGACATTCAGTCGCGCGCTAATACACATTCGCCTTCCATTCCATATGTGAACGGAAAGGAGAATGTGTATTAGCGCGCGGCTAAATGTCTTACGCACATATCACTTAAAGGTCAATTTCGTAGGTATAATAATTTACGGAATGGGTATGGAAAGGATATGGTATGGAAACGTTATGTAATGTGAGAATCAACTTTTAGACTTCCATGCGAAAAAGTCATCGTTTATGTAGTGTTATTTTATAGAGGTTTTTTATGTAACAATTTTCAACGAAGGGTCAACCATCACAGATAGGTAAATAATTCAACGAAATAGGTTTGAGATTTATTACAATTTACAAAAATGAAGGTGCGCAGTTGCAGATAAGTAATTTTGTCAGAGCAAGGAAAACACAGACTCATATTTGCTTTGTAATTTCGACATCCGATACATTTGGCAACACGCCTTTCCCATTTATTCGAAAGTAGTAGTGGATCATAGGATCCTTGCAATGAATAAGTAAATAATAAAATTTAAAACTCACTACCTTTAAGAGTAGTCCACTCTGTAATAAGGGTAAAACGCTCAATGGCATTTTACAAGCAACTGTTACACTTCCGACGCGAATCGTAACTACAACCGAGCTTGTACAAAAAATGACACTATCCCAACTAAATATGTACCTACATCCCTATACCATTATTTTTTATTCAATGCCTATACTTATTCATATGCATAAATATTGGTATAATATATCAATATACCTAGTTATCAAAGTGCATTTTGTAGATTTGGTAACATACCATTCCCATTAAAAACACTGCTGGACCATAACGTCAAGGTAATGAATAAGTAAATAAAATCATTTAAAATTCACAATCTTTATAAGAATACTCCACTCCGCTTGTTGGCATTTTATAAGCAAGTGTTACATTTGCGAGGCGAATCGTTACTGCAACCGAATGTGTACATTACGCTTTTTCTTTAAACTGATAAACTATTACCTAAGTTACCTAAGTTACGTTCTAGTTTCCATTTACTGTTATATCAACGCTAATTACGCGTAACATGAGGTTCGTATCTAGACGTCTTCCTCCCCCAGATGGCGGCCATTTTGTTAAAAAGTTATGCAAAAACAAGGTCAACCTCTAAACACACGGGGGGAGCAGTACGTACTTGCACAGACTATTTGTTGCGCAGAAACGAATTCGCTTAATATTTAATCTAAGTTCTCTCCAATCATGCAGAGGGTCTTTTAAAACTTTTAAAATCTTACCCCTCCCCAGTATTTACATATGCAAATTGCTCTGTTACATACACAAAAATATAAACAGTTTTGGGAAAGTGGGATACCCATACCTACAATACGAGGGGTAAGGCCAAAATTTCCACAAGGAAGTACCACCACTCTTTCTATAATAAATCCCCCTATATGATGGGTTCACAATTGTTTAACTTGTTACCGTTAGAGTTCACCACCTGCAACCAACAATCATTTAAAAATAAAATTAAAAATTTCCTACAGGATAACACGTTTTATTCTGTCAAGAAATTCACAGAGTTCATGACGGCTAGATTCACTTAAGCAATCCACTTGCTAATTTATTTATTATGTGTTCACTCAATGTTGTTCGTACCTGCACGTAAAGTTTGTTATTTTTTCACTCTGTATGACGTTTCAATGGCTGTGATGCACAGTTTCGAGAATAAAGATCTATAAACCACCTGTAGTTACCCCGCTTGCAGTCTAGATATGGAATGAGATCAATGGGGAGAGCATTTTCAAGTCAATTAACGAGTGATAATTTGAGATAATTCCTCTTAAAGGAAATTATAACAACTGTTGCAATGCCTGTAGCGTTTGTAATTCATTAATGTCACTCAAACCACTTTATTATTTTGTTGATGTACGCTGCTTTCCTTCAGAAGCAGTGATCATAAATTAACGTAGACGATTTTGTAGTTCATTGCCCTCGTTTGTAGGTTCCCTGTTTCAGCGTGCTATTGTTTGAAGAGAGCCCTTTTCTTGCGATTGCGTTGACCACATTAAAGTTAAGGCTTTATTAGTTTCATACTGTTACTCCAATATCGATGCAATTTTTGGTGCGTCGTCACTTTAATTATTTTTGGAAATTGATGTAGTTTTTAGGGCATTTTTGATTCTTAAAGGAGCTTATAGTTTCACTAACTCTCCGCTGTACGGGGGCTTTTTAGGCTTTTTGTAAATTAGTCAAATTCTCCGTCATGGAACATCACAGAACTTTCGAATATTCGGCATTATATTTAAATTACGGAGTTATTTCTTCATGCAGTTCATGTATCCGATCACTATTTAGGGAATGCAATACCGGGATCGCGGGATCCCGCAGCATTTTTACGGGATTAATCCCGCACATAAATGGAGCGGGATCCCGCGGGATTTGCGGGACTGAGAAATTTGTCGACCAAGGGGACGACTCTGTTTGCTTTGTTAATGAATAATAAATAAATAATAAATAATAAAGTTTATTCTCTGTAATAGCCATAGACTATATAAGATTTGTCCAGTAAGAGATATACGTACATATTACATTACATTTAGTCACAAACATAACATACATTAAATAAATAATTAAAATCGCAGACAATATACCAGGCACATTCATTTATCAAAACCGAGATGACAAAAACTCATGACTAGAATAGAAAGCGTTTAATTTTAAATAACTGGTAACGGTTTTTTTTAACTCTTTTACAGATAACGAACGGTAACTCTGAGGGAGTTTATTGTAAAATTGTATACCATAATAATGACTGCAGTTTTTTGAAGTATTTAGTCGTAGTTGATTGGAACGAATATTATTTTTATTTCTTGTGTCGTACTCATATGATAAATTACGCAGTCGGTAAGTCGATAGGTTAGTGGCAACGTGTAATATGCAATTTAATATATAAATACATGGAATTGTTAAAATTCCAAGTTCTATAAATTTATGTTTACAGCAAGTTCTATAGTCCAGATCAGTTACAATTCTAATAGCACGCCTTTGAATTGAAAAAATTCTTTTAACGCCCGAAGCATGTCCCCAGGTAATAATTGCATAACACATTATTGAGTGAAAGTATCCATAATATGCAGTGATAACAACATCCCTAGATACTAGGGATTTTAAACATCGCAATAAGTAGCATGCTTTCGATAGTTTGACAGCTACCTGACTACAATGAGCTGACCAGTTTAACTTCTGATCAAGTGTGACTCCTAAAAACTTAATTTGTGTTGAGTTTTCTGCATTGTGACTGTGTCTCAGCGTGAAAATACGTTTTTCCGTTTTTGTTTGATTAATTTTTAGTCTGTTATTTAGTAACCATTCTTCGATATTCTCAATAAATTGATTATCGTCCTTTAATTCGTGACATCTACTCAATAAAGTTGTGTCATCTGCATAAAGAATAACATTATCAGATTGAGTTAAAAAAGGCATATCATTAATGTAAATTAGAAAAAGTATCGGACCGAGAACCGACCCTTGGGGTACACCGGTATTAATTTGTTGATAGGCAGATTTTTTATTATTGAAATGAACATATTGAGTTCGGGTACTCAGATATGATTTTAATAACGCGATACTTTTTCCAGTAAATTTATATATAGCCAATTTATTTAGCAAAATCTCATGATTCACACAATCAAATGCCTTGGTAAGGTCCAAAAAATTTGCAACGCAAAAGTCATTTGCCTCGAAGCAAGTTATAATTGTGTTTGTTAATTGTAATATTGCAGTGGACGTTGATTTTTGTTCGCGAAATCCATGTTGACTGATAGAAAATAACTTATTTGTTTCAAAATAATCTGCAATTTGGTTTTTTAATGCTTTTTCAAAAATTTTTGAAAAAACTGGAGTTATTGAAAGTGGCCGATAATTAGAAAGAACATCCTGATCTCCACCTTTATGCAGAGGGACAACCCTAGACACCTTTAGTTGAATAGGATATGTAGACTCACGTATACAAGCATTGATCACTTTGGTTAACGGAATCAGAATAACATTTAGCATAGATTTTATGATACTAGCAGTTAAATCAAAATAATCTTTGCAACTACTATTATTAATAGCATTTACAATATCTCGAACATTATTGAATGATATTTCATTAAAATCAAAGGATATCGAAGTTATAGCATAGTTACTAAAGTAACTAACTGGGTCTTTATTTTGAGACGGAAGTGAAGCGCTTATTTTGTCAGCAATGTTCACGAAAAAGTCATTGAATTCATCAGAAGTTAAATTTGTGGTACCTCCGCAACTCTCATGGCTATTTTGTTTTATTACCTTCCACATAGCCTTGGGTTTAGAATTAGAATTTTTTATAAAATTATCATTGGCTCTAATTTTGGCTTTACTCAATTCTTTTTTATAAAACTTTCTGTAAGTACTTGCCAAGTTACGTGTCTCTTCATTTTTAAACATTTTATAATTGTCGTTGAGTAACCTTAGAGTTTCCCGCATATTCCTTAATCGATCGTCAAACCAATTAGTCATGGGACTTGATAAACGTGATTCTTTAAGGGCCTTTGTAGGAAAGCTAAAAAGGAAAATATCGTTAAAAATATTTAGAAAATACTTGAATTTCTCTTCCGCAGGCAAACAGATATCGTCTACGAATGACCAATCCATATTCTCAAGCATACTGTACATTATCGACTTACCCACGGTCGTAATTGGTCTACATATTTTGAGATTGTTTTTATGTTTGATGCTCTGGGTTGTTTAGGTAATGAAACGCATAACGGAGAAATTATTTTTAAAATAATTGTTAAACTTTTTTCACTTATAATAATTACACAAGAGGTTTGTATTTTACCGAGTAAATTTGGGTTGTTTAGGTAATGAAAATCTGTTGCCTAGCAATTAGACGAGAAAAACTGTCAACTAATAAAAATGCGACACCGAAGGTGGAGCATTTTTAGGTTGACAGTTTTTCGAGTTCAATTGCTAAAAGGAAACATATTTGAATTGCAACAACCCAAATTTACTCGGTTTAAATACAAACCTCGAGTGTAATTCGGCAGGACAATTTAACGAACAAGAAATTCACCAAACTAAACAATTATTGACAGACGTCAAACTAGTCATATGGGAAAGGATAATGCGATAATAGGTTCAAAAATGAATAACTGAAAAAACCACTATTTATAGTGCATTTTTCGCTGGAAAAGATGCAGGTAACTTTTGCCGCTACCAAAGTGACAATTGCACTGCGGCTTATGGGATTTTTTATACATGAGTTGAATTGTCGTTAAAAATGGACTATGATTTTTGAGGCACTTTAGAAGTTCACCTTTTTGTGCTTTACAGGTGATTTTTTTGAGTTTTAAATTAGGCTGAAGGTACTTTTTTGTTGAATATTGTGATACTTAGTGATTTATTTTAATACGCATAAAATTGCTTATTTGCCAACTTATTTCAAATTTTGCGGGATCCCGCAAATACCGGGATTCCGCGGGATTAACATCTAACGATCGCGCAAATACCGGGATTGAGATTTTGCTGCGGAATTGCATTCCCTAACTATTGGATTAGGGGAATTTTTGATTTAATAGATTGTACAGGGTGTAGCACCCAAGACCCCTCGGATCATAATTCCTTTACCATTATACACAATTACCGTCGCCATATTTCTAAAATATTATTGGTCACCAGGGGCGTGCTGTATTCCAGTGGCGTATCAAACGTGCATTTTTTAAAATCTAACACTCGATATTTTATTACTGATTTGGAGAGTACTTAAAAAGTACTTATTTTTTATGTAACATGTTATCCCCCTAACTTTACGATTTCGGCGTTATAACCTTTTTTTGTCAAAATTTTGTTTTCGAAATATTTTTAAGAGAAACTAAATCGAGTACGTGGCTAATTTTTGGACTGAGGCACATGTTAATGCCTCTTCCATAGTCACATAATTTTTTTTAGGTCAAATGTCACATGTCACTCATTCCATAAGAAAATTTCAGTGAAAAACCAAGTCGAAACGCCAATTTGTAAAAAAAATCTTATTTTCCGAACCCATCTCTTTATATAAACAAAGAAATAAGGCATACACCTATGAATAAATCACTTTGAGCAGCTATATTCATCTTAATCGTTCCATTCATCATAGGTACCTTTCTTCACCTGTCTTTCTTGGCTACATTTTTCAGACATGTAAGTTTTCTTTACAAACAGTGTGATGTGATGTCCATTAGCGGTGAAACGATTCCTCGTTGGATATTATCCCCCACAATTTTCGTGGATTATTGACCATTGTACCGGTGGCAAAGTTTCTTAGAGAGCTCCTTAGGTACAAAGAAATGACTATATCGTCGGCATTGCGGCGTCTGTTTCCGCGCCCATTGTTTTGATTCGAATAAAGTCTTATGTAATAGTTCTGTAAGGAAGAGAAGTGCACCTAGTATTCTTAATTGCGCTAAAAATCATTATGTCGTAATAAAACTCACGGCTGCGGTTACAAATTACGCAATACCTACGTACCGGAATATTTATAAATTACGTCAAATGAAAACATTTCATATAGATGGAAAGTTTGAACAGCCTTTATGAGTGGCGTCACCCATTATATCGAACTAATTAACTATAGCCTTCGCATTATTCAAAAGCTTCCCTTTATATATTGTAAACGATCATGCATACCTATACTGTTTATCAGCTAGGTTGCTTTGTATCGTATATGTTTCTGTAAGAACTAGGCACCTAGTGATCAAAATGAAGCTGTTTCTGTCAACTTGTGCATTTATGTTGGGAGTAGTTAAGGTATGTATTGCGTGTTTCAACATAAACAACCGCTGTAAATCACTTTGCAGATCGATGGAAGATGCGCGAATATTTTAAGCGACGAAGAGCAAGCTTGTGCGAAGCCGTTAAAGTTAGATGCTACTTCCGTTCTGGAATTTTACCAATCGCGCTCTGACAGTACCATATTTTCAGAGTATATAAACTGTGTTTGGGTAAAATGGAATTTTATAAATGAAAATGGAGAAATTTTATTCAAAAACATAATGACGGCCAACGGTTTGCCGTGGAAAATTTCTCGAATTTGTGAAGATGTTGGTCAATTAATAGAGAAGGCGGAGAAGGAGTTTAAGAATTCGGTAAAGTACTGTGCAAAAAATCCACCCGTTCCTGCTACCGCTATTAGTGTAATGCGATGCATCGATAAAAACTACAAACCCACACCAGTTGAAGATTCTCTGAAGAATTAATCGTTACATACGTTCCTATGGGGTCAAAATATTTAGCAATTAAGAAAGGTGCGATTGTTTGTACAAGTATTTGTTTGCGGTTTAGCTTATCAGTGTCAAAGGCATTCCTTTTTTATCGATTAATTAAAGCCGCTGATCATTTCTTGAAAGTATCCTACTCAAAGAAAGTGTACAACTTCCTCAGCAATACCATCTCTTGTACCTCAACTTACTCTCGAGATGGCACCCTTCAAGATTTCTCCACGGCGGACAAGGAGAGCGTAGGGTGTCACCACACAAATAAGAAGCATAATCAAATGTTGTTCAGAGAGGTACGTAATGGTCGGTCATTCATGTTTTAGCATTGGAAATGCTTATGTTTTGTGTATGGGTATGAAGTTACTGGTTAGTCGAGCAGAAAAGAAGACAATTGGTGTCGCATCAAGTGATGATTGTTCCGTACTCGAATGGAATCAGTAGATTCAGGAAAAGTCGCGGATACTGTCGATACGGCACTTACTTAACAGTGCGCAAGGGTTTTGTTAATTCGAATCTAAATTTATCGCACATCGCCCGTAAAGGTATTACACGCACGTTACGACGCGTATTATTTAGAAAGTTTACGTTTGCGACACGCGCGAGCTTGCGAGCGAGTGGAGCTAGTGATACCGTATGAATAAGGGTTATTTGTGTTTTTCATATGGCGTTGTACGGTTATTATTTCCATGGTTGCAAGGATTGCGAAATCTGTTAATTTTAGTTATAAGTATAACTTTCACTAATTGATAAAAATAAGTCAGGTAACTAGTTTTTAAGGCAGAGAACCGTGAGCAGGATTATTTTGATGACAGGGCGCCCCCACAGCGCAGATTGGAAACTAAACTCTTGTGATATAATAATACCTTCAATGCGACAAAATAACTCCGTTACAAAGACACAAAACTATATAAAAAGTAAAACAAAGACACCAACAATTAACCACATAGATCGGGAGATGGTAACACTTTTTCTGGTGTGAATTCGTGTGATTTACTACAAGTATGGCGACCATTCAAAAGTTTAATTATAAGTACTCCTCGAGGTACTCCTCAAAACGGAAATGGTGCTAACTCCCTGGGATTGAGACCGTTATTGCGTGACGATTGTTTAAACATGTCGAAAAATTTAATAATTTTGGACAATTTGCTACACAAAATTCTTTGGATTTTTTGGTAGTCGGTGACAAAATGTCTGCAGCCTACTTCCTTTGCGGTCTATTGTCCTGCGGCCCAATGGCGGCGTCCTATTGTCTGCGTCCTAATGCCTGACGGCCTAATGCCCGGTTTCAGTTCTATTTTGTGATGTACCCAGGCCAGTCCCGAGAGACTGCGCAACTCAAGATTTAAATTCAAAACTTTCCCTCCCAAACTAACTGAACCCCATGGCACGTGATCGTCTAGATAAAGCTACCTTACTTGAATAACCGAATAATAGGACCACTTACTACGTTGTGTTTTTAAGAGTTGCTACAAGATATGTGTTGCCTGTCGGAGTGAGGATCAAGTAAGGATTACAAATAATAGCCCAGGCAATACAGAACATATTAGGACCTTAGCTTGCAAAATTAATGGTAGTTCTGGAAATAGGCTTACTTTATGTTTTTTGGGTTGCTGAGTTCAAATTTTTAACTTCCCACCAAAAATTCCCCCTGCAACCCCCCCAAATCTTGAAAAGTAAGAAAAAAAATATGTTTTTTTAAGAAATCGTTTTTTTTGTGGTTTCACGAATAAAACACCTACAATTTTGAAATGTAGATATAAATAGTATGTAACCAGAAAAGTCCTAGAAGCTTTTACGTACTACACTACGCACGTAGGGGGCGCTGGCGTGCGTTGAAGTATGCTTATTGGCGACTCGGGCGCACTTCGCTTAACAACCCACGGCGTTCGTGTTCGCTCTCCCTTTACCCGTTTTATCTTTCGCTTTAACCACCCCCATCCTTTAATCTCTCTTATTTTTCAACATCTGGAAGTCGACCCTCAATCTCCTACTTTTTCCCATCTATTTTCAGACAAGTTCAGAATTAAGAACACATCTACATATTTAAAAAATATAGACTTTTATTACTAAATTAAATTAAATTATTTAAAAATTTTTTAAATTACCTACTCTTTTCCGTTTAACTGCAGCTGAGGGCCCACAGCTGAAAAGTAGGTTCATGCACCAAAAAGATTTAATTGGTTTCAAAGTCCCGTTTTTAAAGTAGATTGATTGATCCATTCTTGAACGAAGACAAAAAAAGGAAGTTTAGAAACGACTAATCTGACAATTCTTCCGTGTTTTCGGACTCGAGAAAAGCTGAACTATCAGATTTATGTGATTTCCCCAAAATAATCTCATCAGCTTAATGGACCACCTTTTCAAATAGAAGTTCGAAATCCTCTGCTTGTCCATCCTCTTCTTCAAAATCTTAGACGATATCTTTAGGGCTATTGGTGCATGAATTGTTGCACTCGAGGCACATTATTGAACATTTCAACCAACTTTTCCTGCATACAGGGTGGTGACTTGCGTAACGCATCATAGGGATTTCAATGTAAAATTCATAACATGCGATTATTGGCTCCCCAAATTATTTTAGAGCAAAAATGTATTAAGGTTTTTTGTAGGAAAAAATTTTTTACGTCAATCAACCCTATTAGTTTTCAATTTTTTGCATAATAAAGACGGAAAATTGGAAAATAAAAACCCCATCTTTTTCAATAATCGGTGATGCCATGGAATTTTATCATACAAAAACTACGTCAATATCCGTCATGCCATGGAATGTCTGCTATTAAACAAATCAAATTCTATCAAAAAGTATTATATTTAGAACAGCGAATTCCACATAAAGAAAGACCAAATTACTAAAAACGGTTTCCTAATATAACAATTTACAATAAATGTTCGAATAAGTCACCATTAACTGCAATACAGTAACCAAGTCGATCATAAAAGCCATTTCGAACTGCTGCTAATTGATAACTGGATATTTTTTTGTTTTAGAAAATTCCATGGCATCGCAGATTATCGAAAAATATGGGGGTTTTATTTTCCAATTTTCCGCCTTTATTATGCAAAAAATTGAAAACTAATAGGGTTGATTGACGTAAAAAAATTTTTCCTACAAAAAACCTTAATACATTTTTATTCTAAAATAATTTGGGGAGCCAATAATCGCATGTTATGAATTTTACATTGAAATCCCTATGATGCGTTACGCAAGTCACCACCCTGTATACACGCGCCACGGCATCCTTTTTTTTTGCACCCAGGAGATTAACTTTTCCGGCTCCATTTTTGTGGTTCCATGACATTTCCTAGCGAAAGTTGGACTCGGTGAAACACTGACGTCTAAAACCGTTTAAAGTCATGTTGTCATTCTTGCAATCATACAAACGAAGTAGAAATTGATTCCCAGCTTTTGCGATAGCTTGTGCGTCTGCATTTGGAATCAGAAACAGCTAATCTAGGAAAAACAAATCTGGGTTCTAGACGAAGACTTTAATAAATTTGGTTTTCCGTCGCCAAAAGTCGAAGACGTAGAGTCACAGCCGCTGAAACCGTGTAAAAATGTATGTTTTTAGTCACTGTGTTTTCTTCAAGACAAAAGGGTGAGCAGATCTGTGCTTCATAAAGTAAACATTCGCGGATTGAGCAAGTGCAGTTAATAGAACTAATAAATGTATATCTTCGCCGACAATAATCAAATCACCGATGGATGAATTGATGCCATTTCAATTTTTTCTATTAACGATGAGGCAGTCTGCGTCTTCGTCAGTTTGTCGCACTGTCGACTTCCTTTTAATCATTTCAATGAGGCGATTATTTCTGCTATTGGATAAAAAATTTGCCTGGACTACAAGGAGTCATAGATTCACCAAAAATTATGTCAACCGATGACTGCTTTCTTTCCCTTCGCAATCTTTCTGCGCTCTTCAGGGGAGGGGATGAACCAAGAAATTGAAAATGACAGTCAGCGATAAATAGGAGAGGTCGCGAAAGTGGCGAAAACCATGCAGTTATCGTGTAATGTCCTAGCGTGCGTACGGCACCAAGGCTCATGTTCTGAGACGCGTTAACGCCCTACCCATTTGCCCTACGTCAAAATATCATATGATTTTTTGTCTCAAATTTTGTCTACTTTCCAAATTTCCAGATACTCTGAAATACACAAAATAACGGTTTTTTTAAACGATATTTTTTCTTTTTTTCAAAATTTGGAGGGGGTTGCGGGGGGAATTTTTGGTGGGAAGTTGAAAATTCGGATTCGTAGACACAGAAAACATAAAACAAGCCTATGTCCAGAACTACCATGAATTTTGCATCCTAAAATTATACATTTCCTGGACTATAAAACAAGTACATGCTTTAAAAACGGAGATTTAATCCAAATAATTTGCATTGCAAGATTAAATTTAGAAAATGGTAGTTCACCGAGTACAAATATAAAAATAGGCTGGGAAAAAAAGAACGGACCAAGAAAAAACCTAGTCAACAAATTAATATTGAACTTGATAGCAAAATTAGTTATCTGTAATGGCATGAATGCATGTTGTCAAGTACAGCAATACAATGTCGAATCCCAGGCTCCACTGGAATTCCTAAAGAATAAATATTACACACACATAACAAAAACAATCATTAAAACATTACAATAAATTCATATAATAGGTTTGGATATTGGATGGCCAGTCCAAATCCCACACCGAGTAGTCATTAGTTGCTCTGGTCATGACATGTCAACATTGTATGAAATCGCTAAGAGTTGGCCTTTCAGAAGAGCCTTTCACATAGGAAGGATATAGTTTTTTAACACAACCATAAGGTCACAACGAGAACACGCCACACGCTTTTAGCTAATCCCTGCGCAAGTGAGGCCGGGCTTAGTCGGCAGCCCCATGTACGACTAGCGGGACCCCAACTCTTTCATTCATACATCTCTAGGGCCAGCCCAACCCACTAGTCTTAAAATGCCGGGTTATAAATTACCGAACTCCAGGCTCTCTACCATGAGTACTGCCAATAACCGACCAAAAGACAAATCATGACATAACTTAAATAACAGAGTAGCCAACGGCAAACTCGCACGCATACCAAATTATAAACAAAATGTACACAATTTATGTAGGCGTTGACATATTTGCACTGGCATAACAAAGACTGACACAAAACCAATATTCGGTCACTACATGACAGGGATCGACTAAACGAATTGATTAGCAATATTGGCAAGATGGCTCCCCTCGAAGACACAAAAAAACCAGTACATAAAATATATATCTCTGCGTATGTCAGTTCTGAACTTTAGCCAGCCTCTGCTACGTCAAATCGAGATATACTATCGGTATCAAATATAGCACAGTACATATTCGAAACAAGTCACCTCGCAAAATATTAATAATCATAATTACCCGGTTCAAATAAATAGTAGGAGCATAACTTTTAGTACTATCACATTACAACAATACAAAGGAACATGTCGTGGCAAACATTGGTATCAAGTAATTAATTCACAATGCCAAGTGCAATATGTAACAATCAACCACCTAACGTACGTCACTCGCCCCCAGATGAGGCACCCTGTAAATACACAGTAACATAATCAGGTAAACAAAAGCGAAATGTGCTGCAATAAATTCAATTATAAATTAAAATGTAGTTCTGCATACTTGTATTGGGTATCGCCCCTAAGGGAACATACAGTATCTAAATATAAATAAAACCACGTAAATCGGTCAGTAATTCCCAGTAGGACCAGTACAATTAAAACTGCAATTTGTATCTGGAATGTGTTATAAATGACAATAATCAATGCTGTACGAGAATAAAGTTAAATTGGCAAATAATCGAACACGATCATATCATTATTAGAGGGATGCAATAGACGTAGAGATAAATAAAACGAGTACATCACCTTTGTAATTGTCGAAGCTGCACTCACTATTCGCAACGTAAAGATTTACTTCTGGTCTCAACAAAAGCACACATACTTCTGCCGCATTCTCCCCCTTTTTTTTATTTAAACAAATCCTAGACGAAAATTGAACGTGCTCCGAGACGGGTCGATACGGATCATTAAGTTTCCTCGCAAAGCGTAATATTTGACACTTTTATTGTAAATTATGGCCCATTTCAATGTAGAGCAGAGAAGAAAAAAAAACACGTGTTCCACGAAAACGAAACAAAGCGCAATCTTGACCTTTTTCTTTGCGCCAGGCTCGGATTCGGGAATATGTAAATCGAATTTTAGCGGGCTAATTCGGTTCCATCACAATTTCTTCTTATTTTATCCAAAATAAAAAATTCGACCATAAATCCAATTTATTGGCAAAATCATGTTCAGGCAAGACTGGTATAAGACAAAAAGCAGATTCAAACGTTAATTATTTTTTATTACACTTCATTGAAATCAGCTTATTTACACCTGTATTAGAAATAATGGTATCTGGCCTTTTCCAGGCTAGCGCACGGAAAAACTTTTCCCGATCCCTTTGATTCTTTCCGTGCGCTGAATATAAATACCCAAAATATTGCTCTAAAATACAAATTTACAGGGAAGTAAACTAATTTTCAGAAAATCTATATGCGTTGTAATGTTTCTTATGTAAGTATTTTGCGTTTTAATTCGTAGATGTTTGAATATTTAGATAAACTTCATTGAGAGTTTGTGACATTTTTTGACGTTTCGTCAACCTTATCTGAAATAAACTAATTAAACAAATCGCCTTTGAAATGATTTGAGAGTAACCATGAAAACGTATGTTCTATAACTGTTACAAAATAAAAATGTTAGCGAGTCTGTTGTTTTTTATGTTATCGATTTAAAAGAAGTATAATAAAAAATATCGTTCATTACACGTCCAGAAATGCTTTTTCCGTGCTTGCATGACTTCCCGTGTTCGGCGTCACGCGCGCACGGAAAAAGCCTGCTTTCCGGACTCCTAATGAAATATACTATTTTTTGTACTTAAAATGTATGTCACTGAGGAAAAAGTATTCACCATAAAAATCGTTTACAGCGGAAATAGGTATCATAGTATGATAGGTTTTCCGTGTAATTTAATTCCGTCTGTGTTGAAAGCTTTTTCAATTATATAAATAGAAAATTTGAAATTGAGTGAGGGCTTAACATGATTTTGCTAATTGGATTTATTGCCGAATTTTGGTTAAAATAAGAAGAAATATAACTGAAAATGAAGTAATTCGTATATCCTTAGATAAGAAAAAATGTTTCTTCGTTTGTTGTCATTACACACCCTCTAAGACATCCCATGATGTTAATTACCAATGTTATGTTTTTGAATATTCATACGGTATAATATACATAACAGTATAGCTTTAGGTATTCAACCGGTAGGTAGCTATCATTGCTGTTGGCATCTGGGTTAGTATATAAATCATTTTGCGAGTCATTTTGACGTGATGACTAAACAGGTATTTGAACAACTGGGGCCGACTATAGTTCTAGAAACGTCGGATTAACTTCTCACTTGCTCTGTGAATTGCATGACACTTGCTGGTATACTGGTGGTTGTTGCTGTAACCAAGCAGGTATATTCTGTGCTTTCTGTGTTTCATCTTCATTCGATGACATCTATGATGCTTCTTGACCTTCTTCGATCATTATTTCTTCTTTATTCAAATTTGCTATTTGCTTAATATTTTCCCTTACAAGATTATACACAATCTTGACGGATTCTTCTTCTAAGAATAACTTGCTCAGATTTTGTAGTAGATCTTCCAGTCTACTTTCAAAACTTTCTCTTGTTTCGTTTCTAGCGTTGTAGTAATCAGCTGAAGTCGCTTTATTTCACTTTTTGTAGCAGTCTTCTTTGACACTTTTGTATTTGAAGTTGAGCGTTTGACTTGAGTGCGATGAGTGATGATGCGGTCTTAAAGAATTACAGATTGTACCTACTTTACAGTTTCGATCTGGGTCCTGTGATGTATTGCCTTTTTTCAAAACTAAAACGAGAGCACTTAAAAGGGCCCTCTCACTCCTTCTTTTCATATCTATGTAGATCACACAAAAAAGATCCCATACTAGAAAAATCTCTGTAAGTACCTGTAGGACCTATGACATTTTGACATTGTTATCTTAGTTTTTATCATCCTCTCAGACTTTACTTTCCTGGCCCTTTTGAGCGCATTTTTGCAAATTTATTTGTAAAAAGTAGCGTTTAATCTCACTTTGGCTGATTGGCTGGCTGGCAGCAAATATGGGCGCCTAGAAGAACTTTTGTAGAAAGGCAACGGGTGTGCGTGTATCTACAGGGCTGTGTAATTTGTCAACCTTAGGGACAGGGCTACATGATGTGGGGTTGGCGACATCTGGCCGTCATCTTTGAGCGTAGTTTACTAACGTGAAGGTTTTTCAGTCTTTTTCTATCTTCTACAGTTTTGGTCCGATTCTTTTCAAATTGGTGTCGTCGGAAAGACGTTGTAAACGCGCACAACTTCTGCGTGGCGGATTTTTGTTTTTTCTCCTATAGGGGCGCGTCTTTGAGAGGTAGGCAACTTCGGGTGCCTTTTACCTTCCGTTGCGAATATTGTCACGCGGTTTAACGTTTCGTAAATCGCGAATCGCTGTCTCTCTTTCTCGTGTCGCCACTAGAACCTCGAGCAATGACAAGTGCCCCAAAAATTAATTACTATCTTGTGGAAGGTTTTTAGGGAAATCCACCAAAATCTGGGTGTAATATAAGTATGCACCGAAAAAGAAAATGTGGTAGCCTCCGACAAGATCTAACTGATGGTGGAGTCAAATCTTCAAACGCGAATTGCGGGTGAACGTGACGTCGGAAGTGGGTACCGTCGAGGTACCGTCGAAGGGAATGTTAAAGTCACTAGATATAGAAAGTACCGCAATCATCCGCCATTTTTGGGCAAATTTGCTGCCAACTTAAAAAAATTGACAAATAAAATCTGAATAGCTGTCATTTTTTATAACCTAACTTCATAGTACTGCCATGTTTTATAAAAATATATACAGATATCTCCAAACAGGTGGAACAATACCTAACATTAAAGTTACTAGAATCTGGTAACTTCCGCCATTTTTGGGCAAAAATCATGCGTTCTCTCTCTAACACACGAGCCCAATGGATTGCGGTACTTTCTATATTTAGTGACTTTAGGGAGTCAAATCTTCAAACGCGAATTGCTGATGAACGGGACGTCGGAAGTGGGTACCGTCAAAGGGAATGTGGTAGTCTTCGACAAGATCTTTTATTGATGGCGGAGTCAACAATGGCTATTAAAACACTGATCTGCCACACAAAAATGCGCTGAAGTCCCTTCGATCTCACAGGAAGACTTTGTAAATTTTTTTGACGCGGAAACGCGACTTGTAAAATTAAGTGTTGTTTCCGGTAACAATCGACAAATGTGAAAGCCCATACGTGATTATTTCAGATTACGACAGCGTAAAGAATTCGTTGGGCGCAGATAAAATACAAAAGACAGCATTTGGTTTGTTGTAAATGAAACAAAGCTGTATTTCTGTTATTGATTATTCAAAAACTGTTTTACAAAATGGATTATACAAAAAATATTCAAGTTGTACCACCTAAACAGGTTGATTACAAAATTTCCTCACTAGATCGAAATGTCTCTCAACTGTTAAAGCAAATAAAATTCCGTTTCTTTTGTACACAAGATTGTTCTCGTACATAATACTACCCTTAATCTAGATACGGATTAGTTTTTAAGTAATCTTCGATTGGAATGGGTTTGTAATTATCCACGATACATTGTCTAACCGTTAGAGGAGTAGCAGCCGCAGGTGGATTATTTTCACAGTAAATGGCGGCCTGTTTGTATTCCTGTTGCGCTTTCCGTGTTAATGTAATGACGTCTTCGCAGAAATGAGAAATTTCCCACGGCAGCGATTTGGAAGCCTTAATGTTTTCATATGAAATGGTTCCATCTTTATTTACAAAATTCCGAGCCAACCAAATGCAGTTTAAATATTCGGCGAAGACTGGACTTTGTGAATTTGTCTGATAAAAATCAAGTACGGAGTCCGCGTCCAAGTTTAATGGTCGTGCACAAGGCTTCTCGTCCTCACTTAAAATATTAATGCAAAACAAATCAGCCTAAAAAATGTTACTACATTAGAGACGGAATGATGTGCGCAGTACCTACTTACCTGCTGTAAACAGAATAGAACTATCACTGAAGAGATACAAAGTAGATTCATTGTTAAAATGTCGGCAACTATTGGATAATTTACAATTTCTTACGGAACTGTTCACAAACGGTGCTTCTTTACTAATATTCTGTATAACAGTCAAGGATACCGTTAATTATTCATGCTAGGTGTGATGTCACTGCTTACTACTTCTCAGTGGCGTCCATTAATTAGAAAATAAAGCCACAGGAAGTGATTGTAGTTATGATCAACAATCAAGATTGAATTCAATGATGGACACTCATTACTATACGTACAAAATCGCCAAATAAAACTTAATTCTAAATGCCGAAAAATAAACTTGACCGAATTTTGTACAATTTAGCTCCCACATTTACTTTTTCAGGATGCAGAGTGTGTCATTATAAAATATTGCAGAAAGTTTCTTTATTTCTACCGCGTTTACCATTAAAAAAATGCATTCATCCAAAATAGTGTACTAAGATACAAGTGTATAATCAAGCCTTTAAAGCACGCGCAATGAGTTTAACGTTGCAAGTGCTTTAAAGACCAATTATACACGTGTATCTTATAGTATTTTTTATTATACCTGCAGTATAATTTAAAAATAGGAAATACAATGAAATCATATTGACGTTATACTCGAATACATGTCTAATTAAGTGGGCTGGGTGTTCGTAATTTCACGATTGCCATGGAAATGTCACTAGGTAGGTGTAACATCCAAATCTAGTAAAGTCTTAAATAGTATATTAAGTATGGAGAACGGTAAGGGATTTTTACCGTTCGAAGACAATTGTTTGGAGGAGGAGCGAAGCGACGACTCCAATTATTGTCTGAGAACGGTAACCCTTAACGTTCGACGTGCTTATAACATTTTTTGCGCGATCGAAATTAAAATTATGCAACCAATATAAATATGCACTAAGAAATTAACGAGCAGAATAAATCGAAATGATCGAAGTGGTATGGTGTCAATCTCTAGGTAACCAGTTTATTTGTCAAAATTGAAATTAATAATTTCATAAAAAGGTGCATGTGTCTGATGTAGTTTACTAGCTTTGTACTTCCTTTATGACTTTATGAGCGTCTTGCTATAGGAAACAACAGCACAAATTGTACGTTTAATGTACCTAACAATAATTAAAGATTAAATGTAATGTAAGACTGTTGATTTTTAAAAAGGCGTCGGTAAGTATTTTTGCTGTTCTGTTTTTAGATCGGTAAGTAATTTTGGCGTCGTCGTAATCATAGCAACTGGTAAATTCTACGTACTGTCATGGAAACACCCATGGTAAATAGTCAGAAATGACCGATCGCGCAAAAAAGAATATGAGAAGTTGTTTCCATGGATGAATAGGAAGTTAGTTACGAATAAAGCCTTAAATGAATCGATACTGCTGGCATATAGGTATGAAGGAGATGTCAAAGGTATTTAAATCTTCTATCTTTTGGTGCATTCATTCAAAACTTCAAACAATGCTACGATTAAAAAGTGGAACAGGTTTGGAAGCATACCCTAAATTACGCACGTTTGTGAAAGCTTCAACCAAAGGATAGGTACAAGCCATAGAAATGTTCTGCATTTACAAAAAGCGACCTAAGAGGATTTTTTATTTCACCCAGATGACAGTTTTAAAAGTCATACTAAAGGTAGTTTCACATTTGTACACTTTTGTATTGCGCAATATTTAAAATTGCGCAACTTGGTTATTTCAGCGTGTGCACTGCGCTGCAACGTGGAAAACTTGCGCCATCTTTTAAGCTGCGTGCAATTTTCCAACTTGCATATATTTCAGCAATTGATACGTGTGACTACCCAGATGCAATAAAATGTCGTTACAACAAAGTGGACCGTTTTGTCGGTTATATAAAGTGGCGCAATTTACGTTTAGCCTGGTACGTGTACTACTGCATACCAGATGATATGGCTTCTCGCGTAATAAAATCAAAGCAAAATCAAGCAAAATGGACTTCGCAAAATACGTTTCTGTTACTTTTTCTAATAAGTAATCAAAATTCGATGCCGATATCCGCAAACAAGTATACATTGTGCACAACTCCTGTGCAGATAAAGCGCATTTTTTTAAACCGAAATAGCTTTTGTTTTGACATCACCAATGGCTTGCAGACATCTCAATCTCCCTTTGTGAGTACCCTCTTCCGACAATCCGTTCTTGAGGTATAAGCACAGATTTCTGTGGTATAAGGGAATATACCCGATCACGATAAGACGTCGAGGAGGAGGGCTATGGTTGGTAAAACTAGTTCCACTCCTTCCCCCCTCCACCTCCACGCCGTACTTTGATAAGAGGACAGAAAGAAGGGCAGTAGTTGGTAGAAAACGGTTCCTTTCGTTGAGACCTTTAATTAGAATACAATGAGATAAAAATTAATTTTTAATCTCCCCCCCCCCCCCAGACCCCGTCGTTCACTGATCTCGAAAAAGAGTCGCAAGGGAAAGTTATAGTTGGTACAAACCAATTTATTTCGATGAGATCTTTCATTAGAATACAATGAAGGGTAGAACATGTGTTTACCCTCCTCCCCCCTCCCTTTTTTTAATTCTTAAAAATGCAGTAGAAATTTTTACAAAAGGATTTGTCACCGCAACAATATTCCAGCAATCAGTTGTTGACGACACCGCTTTGTTCTCGCTTTTTTATCCACTCACGTACCCATATTCTTTTCCTACACTTCCTTTGTTGTTTTTTTTCTTTTCAGCAAAAGTAAAGTTATGCATCTCTTCGTCTTCAGAATACATATTAGTATTTACAAATTTGTTTGCGACCATTCGCACTACTCCCACTATACCAATTCTGCCGCTCCCGGTTAGTCGTGCAATAAAATTGAAGACGTGGAGAAGAAATGTGAACATCCTCGCAACTTAAAAAAATTGCATCCACATTTTGATATTGCGCCACACTAAATGTTGCAAATTATTTGCAATTTTTGCGTTCAATGTGAACACCATGCGCCATTTAGTTGCGCAATATTGAAAAGTTGCGCCACAATAGTGTACAAGTGTGATACTACCTTTAAAGTATCATTACTTAGCAACTTTAAAGCACGTGTGTTTTAAAGGCCTTTTTTCGCACGCATTTGAGTGTTTAACTGCCCTTTCACAATCATGTTAATGTTAATGGTAATGTTAAGAGGTAATGGTAATGGTAATGGTAACGCTGTTCACAATACTGTTAATGTTGATGGTAGAGGAAGTTCCCCCACTCAAAAGTGACAGTGTTTTATGGTGGCGCTGGAGGGCGCAACGAAAAATAAATTGTCTGTTTAAATTCTTTGATTTGATCTGTGGTTGTTTGACGGGCCGTAAAAATATAACCTTTAATTCAAGTTTAGCATTACAGTTAAGGGTTTCAGCAATTTCAATCCAGGCGTTGTTCTTTTTCTTTATGTCTTTAAAATCGCTGCGTTGTTTATCGTAGAGGAATGGGTATTGTTGTATTAACTCCAACAGTAACGAGACGTCAACAACCATCATTGCACCGAACGCAACAGCAAATAACAAAAACCAGCAATTGCACACGAAAACAACAAGGCAAACGAGAAACTCAAACGAACTGCAGAGCTTAAATAAATATGACGCGATGGGTGACAGTTCACGCGGTCAGCAGTCAACACATGCGCATGCGCTGCATTTTACCGTAGCTGCAATTCTATTGGAGGATGTTAACGCCGATGTTAGTAGATCCACAAAATTTTTGGACCTTAACATTACCATCTTACGTTAACATTACCATTACCATCATTGTGAACGCTTTGCTTGTAATGCCATTATCTGGAGTTTAACATTCTAACATTACGTTACCATTACCATTAACATTAACATGATTGTGAAAGGGCAGTTAAACGGAGATTGTGATTCAGGTATAATAAAATATTGTTATGATTCTATACCGCGAATATATTTAGTCTTACCATCATAAGCTCGCAAAATACTATTCTGTTATGTAACACATAATTATTGGACCAAAGTAAACAAACATTACTTTACTACCTTTTTGACCGTATTTTTGTTGATACCTGATAGTTTGGCATACGCCTGGTATAGCCGCCTCTCCCAGGATTTAGTCAACTGTCAATTGTCATGACTCATGAGAATGTGTCCCTCATGGTAGGTACCAACAGTGGTGCATCTCCACCACTTTGTTGCCATTGCGCTGGGCAGAGATATATGCCAAACAATGTGGTGAATTTTATGGATTGGGGAGGTTTTGGAGCAGGGGGGGGAGGGGCTAACTGGGTGTTATCTGAGCCGAAAGGGTACAGCCACAGCATTAGAGGGAACTCTGCTTCCTAGGGATGGCCTCACCCCCGGCCGTTCCACTAGTTTCCGCTGACTCCATCCTATTGTCTCGTTTCGTTCCTTCTTGTTTCTCTCTTTCTTACTAGTGTCCACTCCCTGCCTCTCTTTCCGTCTCCTCCTCTTGACTGCTTATGCATATATCTCATTCTTCCTCCATCTCCAGTACTCGTATGCTTTCTTTCTTCATTTGGTGTGTGTCTCTGTTCCACTATTCCCATATTTCTAAGAATTCTCGCGGCCGCCACCGTTTGGTCTATAGTGGTGTTCCATGTGAAGCAGGGCCGGCCTAGTTTCCATTCCGATGCACGTAGATTCTTGGCCACCTACACTATATGATCTCCTCCTGTTGATATGCCCTAGTATCTCAGCTGCCTCATCTTTATCCCAATGAACACTTCGTATTTATCCCGTTTGACCAAAGCACATGTCGAGTGAATTTATTTGACAAGTATGTAATTAAACTTGCCAAGTATGTAATTAAACTTGCCAGCCCTCGGAATGCACTATTATTGACCTAAGGGTTTCCAAGTATACAAAGAGATGTCGTCAACTTGAGAAAAGAAAGGACTACAGGGACCCGGAGGTAGGCTGCGTAGGCTTGCTAGAGCCTTTTCAGCCAGAGAACGGCAATGTAAGGAAAGGTAAGGTTAGGGAAGGGAACGGAAGGAACAGAGTTAGGATGCTGAGGGGGAGAGTACTGCTCCAGAATTCGCCTCGTAGATTTCAACATAATGCTAGCATTATGCGAAGCTACGCATGTCTGAGGAAAACAAAACAAACAAAACCCCAGACAGAGCAAACGGCAGCGGGATTCGTACCCACAACCTCCTGAATCGGTGAGCACAACTAC